TATACTTCTGAAGAGATTATGAAGAATTATGATAAGATCTTCAGATTCAGTATAGTTATTTATCTATATAAACATTTAATCTTCTGCTGTAGGCCGAAGACCTGGTTTTCTCTATTCTTATTAATAATGATAATTGTATCAGTGAAGCTCTTCATAGTGAATGCTTAATCTGCAGTGAATATTAATTGTTATTTAACTTCTGTCTCAGCCTGTCACTGTGTACACAAGGCCTCAATCTCATTTAGAATTCTCATACATATACAGAGTTTTGATTCTGATTTAATGATTTTAGCTGCTTTTCTTACTGCTTTGAGTAAACTCTCTGAGAGGTTCTGCATATCTTTCAGTTCAGGTAGTAGAGAAGAGTGTTATTTGTATTAACTAGAGAAGATATTCATTACAGTGATTTCTCATTGATTATACAATGCCTATTGTTATGATTTCTGTTATCATTATATAACTTCAGTGATGATCATTCTCTTCTTTTATTCTTCTTTTGAGTAGAGAGTGAACTTCTTTGAATCTTGTTCATCACTTTCATTCTCTTTCTCACATCTCATCTGTTTGTGTATTCTACATGGCATTTGTCTGAGTGTGGAGTTTTTTCTCTATAAGTGAAGCAATATTAATCAGATGCTCTTCTGCTCATCATTCTTTATACACTATTTTTTAAGATATTCTAGAACCACACTGATATGATAACTATGAATTGCTTTATAGATAGAATTATCACACTCTGAAGAAGCCTGTGCTTCTCATCAGTTTTTAGACATGCTATCAGATGTGATTCAAAGGTTGCTTGAGCCAGTATATGATTACAGGCGTATGCCGGCTTCTTATATACTGTACACTAAATTAATTGGTGGCCGCTATGGCCCCTTTACATTCGTAAGCAAGTTCGGAAGCGGCCGCGTTATTATCCGGCGGTCGTACGTTCTTCCGAACCACAGATCAGTCTATCAGAATACTTAGAACAGAATTATTCTTATTAACAGAGTCTTCAGACTCTTTATTCATGACAAGCTGTGTCTTATTATCTAGAAGATAGATTGAATTAATTACACTCTTTAAGTTCTCATTGATAATTATCTTCAAAACATCTAGCTTTTTCTTTATAAGTCTTCTTAGAAGGCAGTGTTATTATCTCTTTCTAACATTCAGAATATTTAATTCATTAAACAATTCATTGAATTCTCTCACTATATTTACAGGTGTATTTGCACTCATGTCAGAAGCTGAATCAAATATAATATCTTATGCAATCTCAAGATAACATGCAACAGAATCTCACACACAATATTGATATAATTCTTAATATTCAATCAGCTGTCATTTCTTGCTGTTAGTTCTATCTGTAAGCTTATTTAACACTTTCAAATTCTTCTTGTAGATCTTACACTCTCATCTTCATATTCAATGAACAGAAGATTGCATCTCAGTTCAAGCTTTAAAACATGTAAGTAATGTTTCTTTCTTGTATTTAAATATCTTCATTGATATTGAGAATGTGTTAATTATTATAATCATAGCTTGTATTACTTCATCTCAAAGTTCTCTTTCTAATTCACTATTAAATAGTAGACTTCATGTCTTTTCTATAACTATTCAATTCATATGTTCTTCTGTGTTATTTGATTATAATGTATCAGATATAGTTATTTCATACACTATTTCTTTACTCTGACAGTAGGTTTTAAGTTCTTGACTTTTGAACTTTTCTTCATCATTTCAGTGTAGAATTCTAACTTGATATTATGTAGTTATTTCAATACCTGTGATAAAGTTCATTAATCTTGCAGTAGATTCTCTCTTTCTTATTATAAGAATTGCTCATCTATAATGAGTTATATTATCTGTTATACTAAATCAGTAGCTTGCATTCTCTCTAGTGAGAGTGTTATTCCTGTCAAAAAGTGTTTTTCCATCCTCTGTCAGATTGATAAAGAATCTCATTACTGGCTTAACAGCTTGTATCATAGATGTAAAGATTGAATATATCATTTTTATCTATACACAGATCTTACAGAATGACAAAGCTCTGTTACTCTTTATTCTCATTTCTAGTCATGAATCTGTCACTAATTTAGTAATATCTGCGGAGTTGAGATGTTCTAGCTTTTAATACTATTACATTATTGTAAGTTCTATAATCTTTGTATTATTTCTATCAGATAGTGTTAATATTGTATCATCTTTTATCTGTAATGTGTTCACAGATTTAAAATTATTATTAAGTATAGTAAACTGAATTAAGTCTCTGTATGTAATCAGTCTTTTCATCTCATAGATATCATTCTCATTTAATCTTGCTGTAAATGAGAATATGCAGTCAGAAGATATAATTAACATAGTATGATTATTCTCATATATCAACTGCTTATAGATATAACTCTGATGTATAAGCTTACTCATACTTATAAGATTCACTTCTAACTTCAGAACATAGCTGATATTATTTAATAGTATATTTATTTCTTTCACTGAAATCTTTATATTTTCTATAGCTGTAGTGAGAACTACTGTTCTGTCTGTCATTTTCAATATTACTTTCATCTTCTGAGATTTTATCACAATAAGATCTCTATAAGATGTGATATAAGCATCTGATTCAGAGTCTAGAATTCAGATATCTTTTTCTATCTGATCACTCATATAGATCTTTTCTTTAATACAAAATACTTGCTTTATAACATTGTGAACAGAAGTAGTATCTGTATTCTCTACATTCTTGTCTTTATTCTTGTTTCTATTTGTATTGAAATTCAAATTTTAAGAACATTTCTCAGAGTATTTCTTTCAACAGTCAGTCTGAATATGATTAACCTTTTAATAATAATAGCAGATTCTTATATCATTATCTCTACATTCAGATTTGAATTCAGTGTTCTTATTCTTATCATTATCTTTCTCTTTATTCTTGTCTTTCTTATTCTTATCTTGCATGTTATTGATAGAATTTCTAGATATATCAGTATTTACTTCATTTACAGCAGAAAGCTGTAAAAGAATATTATAATACAGACTTATAAAATTATTCTCTAAGAGTTGAGTATTATTCTTATCAATTTAATTCATTTAATTTCTTATAAATGAGGCTCAATCTCTGTTGACTTCTGTAAGAAGTCTGTTAAAAAACATAACATTCAGAATCTTATATTCTAGATATATATAGTCAGTTCTTGTAACAATTAATTATTCAATGAAGGCTCTATCAGATTCTTTGCTTTTAAAGATTATTTTAATAAGCTTTTCAATTAAATGAGTTCTGTATATAGCAGATCTCTCAGAAAAGTTATTCTCTATAATAGTTTACAGAGTATAAGCTGATAATTTAAACTTCTTAAGTATAGTGAAATAAGTCTTAGTCTGCAGAGTAATTGTAGATCATATATAATTATATAATCAAGAATTGTATTCTTTTCAGAAATATTATCTATTTATAGTAGTATTCTTATCAAGATTATTATCTTTAAGAATATTATTAGTTTCAGACTATTCTATAGTCAAAAGAATTTCCTCTCTTTATATTGAGTAATTAATAAATTCAGTGAGAACTATTAATTTTTTAATAAGTCTTACTCAGGTTCTGAATTCTTTGAAAACTTTTATTATAATAGATATCTTCTCTTTCTATTAAAGATATTCTATCAGATTCACTCTTATCTTATCATTTATAGAAGTCTCATCTCTACTAATCTTCATTTACTCAATCTCATACTGAAGTCTTGTAATTTCAAGTCTTATATAAGTCTTCTCACTCACTGAGCTATTATTATTTCAGTTACTTAAGCTCTCTATATTATCTGACATCTCTCTGATATCTTCAATCAAGTCTTTGTATTTATTATTGAACTCATCAGACTATTCTTTCACAATTGTATTATTCAGCTTAAATCTCTCAGAAGCTGTCTTCTGATTTATTATTAATATTAGCAGTGATCTGTGATCTTGTATTTACTACTCTGATGTTTTCTTACTTCTTTATCTTGAAGATATGTATTCTTTTATTAAGTCAGGCATTTCTCTGAATCTTAGATTAATTATGAGTTTAATCACTTAATAAATCATCTAGACATGCTTGTAACAATATGTGAAGATGTTAATTACATATTATTACAGTTATTCATTGCTTGCAAAGAGCTTCATAACCTCTTGAAGAATAATATTGTTGTGTTGTATATATGTAATCTATCTACACAAGTTACACTAAATGAATAGATTGAAATGACATGTGACTAGAATAGATATAGTAATTATCAACAATACATGTTAATGATTACTACATCTACTCTAATCACGTGCTACTCAACTTATATAGTTTCATCTTAGATAGATTATACATAGATAACAGTGTTATTCTCTAACGGGTTATAAAGCTCTTCTATGAATAACTGCTGATAATGCACTAACTATATCTTTATATATTATTGAATGTGTCTAGATGTCTCTTTAAATCTATAATTAACTTAAAACCTGATAGAATAACAGATTTGATGAAGAAATATATATCAGTATAAAGAAAATGAAATCTGAAAGCACTGAAAGTGTAATAGAGAATAACAGTTAACTTAATAACATCTATAATAAATAACTCTGATAGAGATTTTATAGATCTGATTATCTCATACATCATTAGAATATTGAATTAAGAGAATAGTCTATGTAATTTAACTTCTGTGAGTGAGATAAATTGTATGAAGATGAAAATAATGAAACTTCAATAGAAAATTGAATGAGTGAAAACTAGTAGAGTAGATAAGGTTCTGACTGATACTAATAATACTGTTAGTACAGATCTGACACAGTTCTTACAGAAATAAGAAAGAATATCTGCTCTGATGAAGATTTTGAAAGAATTTCAAGATCAGATTAAGTATATTAAATAACTAATTACTCTTACAGACTCTGAGAACTATTCAATGTGAAAGAAAGAGATTTTACTGACTGTAAAGTAATTCTGTGAAAGGTGTAAAGCTTGTGTGATTGAAAGGTTGCTAGCTTGTGGAAAGTTATATGGTGGAAGGATTAGTAAGCCAGATCACATGACCTGACACCCCCACTCACCAGAGTAACTATACACAATGCTATATACAAAATTCGCCTTCAAATCAAGTACAGGTACAAAAAATGACTGGAAAATGTGTAGCAATGAAAAACCAGTCATGATATACATCATTTTTTATCCCTCTATCTCCCTATCTTCTTTATATTCTCTTTTCAATGCATATATTTCAAACAGTTGACCTCTTTAACACAGGCCTTGTAATAATACTTCCATTCCATGGAAGCTTTGGCGCGTGTGAGGTTTTTCAGGATCGGAAGTGCAGCAATCTCGGGATTGGTGAGTAGGTCTTCAAGACTGTCCCTCACTGAAGATTCCCCCACTGTTGATTCCCTCACTATAGTGATATCTCTTGTAGATGTCGGAGGGTCATCAGATTCAACTGTGGGTTTCGGGGAGTTCAGTGTATTCTGCACTAAAAGGGTAGGTATTCTCGCGGAGATATCATAGTCAATCCACCAATTATTAGTGGGTATGAGAAATAATGGACACTCAGGTCGAATTTCCTCATCAATGAATAGATTATCAATTGATGGATCAGGAATCGCTGCAGTCTCTTGACGGGCTGCAGTGGGTAGGCCTGGTGTCGCTGAAGGAATCGCCGCAGCCGCTTTATGAGCCGCATTGAGTAGGACCTTCGGGTTGTGTGGAGTAGTCGGTATTGATGGATTGGCAAGATGGAGGTCCTCCTGGAAGATGACGTCTTTTGATATGTATAAACGCCCGTTGGAGGGATCCTTGTGAGATTCCATAAAACAGGCTGGCACATTGATAACCTCTGTGAGGTTTGCCATCTGAAAGGTCTCTGAACTATCTGTAATGGATAGTTGAGTCTCACTCTCACTATTGTTCTTTTCCTTCTTTTCTTTGAATTCCTTTATCCTCACAGTGTTGTAGATCCTCCAATTATCTGGAGCACTGTCTGGATTGGCCAACCAACAGTTGCCAAAGTGAGATCTCTCACATTCAGGACATGTAGGTGGGTTTCCCGATCCCCGATGGTTTCGGGAGCCCCCTTGAGTACTACCACAACCACATCCAGTACGGCCTCCACGGGCCGAATTCGATGTATTGTTGTTAGAATTGGTAGGTGTAGTGGTTGTTGTAGCTGTAGTTGCTGTTGTAGCTGTTGTAGCAGAGTTGGCCGCAGAATCTGTATTCTGTAGATTCTTTTTATCTTTTGGAGAATCAAGCCGCGAACGGATTTCCTCCATGAGAAGATCAACATTCAATACCACAGCTGTGGATTTGGAATCCTGTATCTCCTCTATCTTCTTCTGAACATAATTCCTCCAATTGTTGAGTAGGACTGAGTAGAAGATATCAAATATCCATGCATCTGGGGGGGAAGCATTCAACATCTTCAATTTTATGATGGCGGACCGGAACTTATCAAAGAATGTGTGTAGATTGGTGACCTGTGTGCCACCAAGAGACATGAATTCCAGAACTGCCTCACAGTGTAACTGTGTTTTGAGGACAGAGTATTCCTGTTCAATTGCATTCCATAGAGTATAAGCAATCTGATTTTCATCATATTTGGAGAAATGTGGTCTGACACCTGCACTCAATGAGTTTGAGATGAATGTGTAGAGTCACCAGTTTCTGGTGTCTCAGAATGATGCTCATTCATCATCTCTTTGTAGAGGGTTCTGAGTCTGTTGTTTCTCTATCATATATCAACATTGTGTATCAACCAGTTTCACTTTCATGAAGATACTTCATGTGATGTAATTGAATGTATCAGTTAGACTGTTTGGTCTCACAGTATTCTTGACATCTTCCTTGAATTGGGAGATTGCCTTGCCAACACAGCTATCCAGTTCATAAAGGTTGAATTCCAACCTTTCACTGAGATTAGGATTCCATGTGGCTGTAGAGGTGGCAGGATGATTGATGACATTCTGTGGTCGATCTGTAGAGGATGAGAATCTCTGTTGACAGAGTTTTTCCAGTTGTAGTTCGAGTTCTAGAACTCTTCGCTTCTTCTTCTTCATCTCAACTATCATCTTGAGATGCTTCTTCTATTGGTCTGATATTGCCCTGTCTGAACAGTAGACATCTGAGTGTTCAATATTCTCATCAAGAGAACCAGCTTCATCAAGCTGTTGAGTAGATCAGAGGGCCGGCCTGACCGTGTCAGAAGCTGTATTCAAACCAGCTTCAAATTGAGAGGGTGTTTTGATAATGAAGCTTTCAAAGACTCCAGGAGAATGTTCACTGGCAGAGTGTAAGTGTGAAGAATCATCATCATCAACTGCAACTGACTCAGTGAAAAGAACACAAGATCATGAACATGTATGTGAGTGAGATTGTATTGAATTCACCATCTTGATATTTGTTTATTGAATCCTTGTCAATATTGTTCTCTTTTTCTTGCTTTTTTGCAAATGTGATGTGTTTTCTGCAAGCCTCTTTTTTAAGTGAGCAGTAGTATTATTGATTATCAAGATCTCAAACACATCAATACTGATAGAATAAGATGATTTTAACTTCTGAAGAGCATATTGAATGAAGCAGCAGTTCAAATAATAATTATATTGACAAGGAATTCTGAATTGACAGTGATTTTATACAAAACAGGTCTCATAACCTGTGAAAGATGTAAAGCTTGTGTGATTGAAAGGTTGCTAGCTTGTGGAAAGTTATATGATGAAAGGATTAGTAAGCCAGATCACGTGACCTGACAAATTCTGCATAGTTGATATCATTGATAAGAAGTAAGTCAGTTCTATAAAGAATGTAAGCAATAATATGCAATAATTTTGAAAAGAATGTAATATGTAGCTGTATAATTATATATAATCTATGATTGCTTCACAGATGAAATCTTATTTTACAGTATTAAAGAAATCTGAGCTATTCATCTACACTCTGTAAAAGATTACAGAAGAGAATTTCACTGAAAGACCTGCTGTTAGAAGAATAAGATTATATAGAGAAATTATCACTCTGTCTGCTAAGACTAAGAGCTCTGATCAGATCTTTATTAAACATTTAATCACTATATAGACTGAATATATATGTCTAGAATTTAAGACTGAGAACTACATGTTTTTTAACTATCTACTCACTGAGATGAGTGAGATATGAGTATTATTTATTAGAAACTGAATGAATCAGATTGACAGAGATGATAGTCAATCTCTTAAAGCTGACTTTATAAGTCTCTGTCAAGATATTCTACTACACCTTCCTGCAATGAGAAAAGTCTTAAAGAATGTGATAATGAATACAGTTAACAATATAAAAAACTCAGATAATGAAAAAAGCAACAATGTGAATACAGACTTCAAGCCAGTATATAGAGAGAGTTTAATGAGAATCTGCTATCACTGTGACAGAGTTAATCATGTTCAGAATGACTGTTAAAAGAAATACTCTGAGAAATGTTCTATCAATTTCAATACTTTCAGAAAAGGTAGAGATAGAGATGATATCAATACTAAAACTGATTCTATTCACAGTATTGTGAAAATGTTCTCTTTGAGAGATAGAACTTGTTCAAACAATAACTCAACAAAGAATACTTGAATATTGAACTTTAGATCAGATGCTCATGCCACACCTTATAGAGATCTTGTTGTGAGGGAAAAGAAGAATGTTAAATTATCATTGACAATAGCAGATGAAATCAGAGTCCTTGCCATGATAGTTGAGAATACAAGCATTTCAGTTGAAGGAACAAATATGATATTGAATGATGTCCACTATGCCCCGAATTTGGAAGTTAATCTTATCAGTCTAGGCAAGCTTGTGCAACAAGGCTACACCTTCAAGCAATTAACATATGGGAAAAATCACGCCATATTGCCATATAGTTTCACCTTAGGTAGATTACACATAGACAACAACGTTATCCTTTAACAATACATTTGGGCACGTGATTTGGGCATGATACCTAAACTTAGTTCTGCCGCAGCTTTTTCTGACGGGAATGATCTCCTGGGCTCTGGAAAAGGGGACGGTGCTCTCTTTCCCACCTGAGAGGCCCTTATTGCAAACCTAATGCCAAACCTCTCCTTGTATCGCTTGAGCTGATCCGGATAGACCTTTGCAATGTCATCCTCCGACCGCCAAATGGGCGCCCACAGGAGAAGTTCGAGACTCCCATCCCTAGCCTCACGGTGTAGCAGGATATGGGGGCAGCCTGTGTCTGCTTCAAGAGGGTGTCTAAAAGAGCCACTGACTGTGGCATCAATGTCCCTCAAGGGTCGGTCCTGAGAGACGTTGTCTGGTATTGTGGAGATGGACTGTGGTGGCGACGGGGATGGTTCAACATTCTCCTTGTCACTGCCAGGGCAGTCAAGACCTTCTGCATCTGTCAATATATGCTCTCTACAGGCCATAGTATCAGGGAAACTCACGTTCACTTGACTCCGGCCCGGTGGGCCCTGTTGGGCATGACCCTGGCCGTGGTTGCGCCCGCGACAACTCTTCCAGGTCCTGAATTGGTGTTGTCTCACTACTTCTTTCATCACCAGTTTCACTGCCACATCCATGCTCGGTGTCACCTCCAAAACGTGACAGTTCTCTATCATCACTAAGTGGTTCTGTGTCATGTTGTTCATCCATTCTATTGTTCAGATCAATTGGGTTATCTGGCGATGATCCAGGCTCACCGTCGGGCCATATGAATTGTGGATGATTCGATCCATGGAAACTCGCTGCTAAGGATTCTAATTCCAACAGAGGTCAGATTTTGAGTGACAACTTAAGGCCATGAGACCTCCCTGGAATTTGACGTGCTGTGGCATGTTCCTGCAGAGAGGGTGTCATTGTCATTGGAATTTATGCTTGCTGTGAAAGGATACTGTGTGGGCTTGCTGTGCTTGTGGAGTTCTTCTGAAAGGAGGATTCTTCTTGAGAGAAGTGGCGCCTTTTATGTTTGCAGCCCCCGATACCAGGTGGGAGAAATTTCTACTTGTGCTCATTCTACCTACTCACTTCCATCACATTTTCTACGTAGAGTGTAAATGCTCTTAACACGGGATCCTGCGCAGGCATCGCTCAACCCGGGAACTGCCTGCAAAATGCGAATTGACAACAATGTAACTCAAGAAATGCAACCCAAACAGCTAGTGTTCCTCTGAACCGCACTGTTTGACTGGCGCAGAGCTTAAGAATCCTCAGAAATTCATCAGGGATCAGTGCCTCACAGACAAGCCCGGCGAGCTCGTGCTCCATTCATAGCCTCATACTCATGAGACAGAATGCAACTGACCATGAGATCACCCAATTGATGGCAAAAGTGAATGCAGCGGCTCGGGTCCCCCGCTCGCCCCTCAGCTAAAAACAACCCAGTTCGGATCCACTGATGTCCCTCGCCGAATGAAATCGTGGGGCTGGCCATGGTATACAATGCGAAGAAGGGATACCATGCAAGGATATCACACAGCTGACAGCAGCAAATGCAATCAGCAAAAACCGCTGGACTTTCAGTGAATGAGGATTTGCACCCACATGTTACATCCTAGCATACAGCCGACTTCCCCGTAATCTCGCTACGCTGTGAGCAGGTTGTTGGTTCCACACCATTCTAATTGGGCCTGTGAATCTATTGTTGGCAGTGGCCACACCGCGTGAATCGTCGTGCCTACTTCTTACCAGTCTGTCCGTTCACACCAGAATGTTGATAAATGGCAACAACAAAACACGCATCTTTTCTTAGAAGAAAAATGGATTGTTAGTTTAGGGCACTAGGTCCCCTATAGAGACCAGCCATTATCGAGCAATGGGTAGCAGATCGATGTCCGTGCTGGATGGTGATGCCTACTGCAGAGAAGGGAAGGGTTACACTCCCCACTAGGCACATAGCAAAGGGTTGCCATGACCCATGATGGGCAATGAAAAGAGTGATTGAAGCAGAGCTATACAGAAGTCATCAACAGAACGGACGAGCATCATGCCTCTTGGAAGTTGGATGTGATATTCCTGACCTCCTGGATTACATTTCATCGGTGACAGAGAAGGGTATTTCTGATGGCTTAGTGGTTTACTTCACGCACTGGACACATCAATGGCTGCGATCAGAGAATGTTGGTGAAGATGAATGCAGATCTCTCCTCTTGTCTTTCTGAGGTGGCAGGAGTTAAAATTGTCATTTCTCATCTTTCTCTCGGTAACTGTATCTAATGATAACGCTGCTGGATATAAAGCTGAATCTTATGAATCGTACTCTCTGTCCGGCGCAAGATACCCTTCGACTTGGAAGTCTCATGACTCATCAGGTAGAGACTCAACCACAGCGTAATTCGCACTTGCCCAGGAACACACTGGGCGACCATATGCTTGTTCCTCGCTCTGGGCTGTACAAAATGCCATGCCTTGGTGCCGTTCTAACTGGTTTGCATAAGCTAAAAACTCACATGAATCAAGGGGGAAGGGCTTTACCTGCTGAAGCCGAAACAAAAGTAGCTCAAGCACGCATTTCTCACCTCGAGTGTAGTCTAGAAAGTCTTCTCTTTTGCGTAACATAAAAGAACTGTGAGGAAATAACTTTGCTGAGCTGAAATCAACAAGAAACGCACGGCCATCATTTGATCCCATAATATTTCGTGGAAACAGGTCGCCATGCGCAATGTCCATGTTGTGTAGGTGATCAAGCTGATCTCGCAAACTCCGGGCTCCCGCGGCTGTAACTCTAGCCTTGTCAATGGTACATCCATCAATGTATTCGAGCAATAGTCCACGAATAGGGTCTCCTGTTGTATCCGCCCTCCGCCGCCATTCTAGGGGTTTGGAAAACTTCCATTCCAAACATTGTTCCTGGGTTTTATCAAGCACGAGCCAGCCGTAGCAGCAAGGCCCAACCACCCCGCCCAGCTCGTTCTCGATCAAGAAATCGTACACTTGACATTCAACAATGAAGGGATCCTTCTCCCACGCATTTCTTTCAAACCGTGATTCTGACCAGTCAGGTTGTGTCAGGTTGTACTAATAGAGATATTGTGAGCGACAGTCTGAAGTGGGCACAGTAATAAAGCGAAGGCATTCTATACCAATTTGAGAGTATATATTTCGCCCCCAAGCTGTACTTTGAAGAGATAACTATGGCTTCCAGCGAACAATAGCTCCAAAAACTCGATATCAGGTGAGAGGTGGCTCAGATCATTGATGAAAGGACACTTCTCCTTGTGGTGCTGTAACCACAAAGTCCAGCATGTACGCTTGCGTTTAGCTGAAGACGCGTGTTGGAGATCCATAGAAAGTAAGAAGGTCGAAGCCAGATCAGATTTCACATTGCAACAGATATAAATCTCTGGAAAGAGTGAATAGCAAGGTCAGGAGAGATAATGGCCCATGACCAGGTATTGGCACAAGAAGGAATCGTTCATAGCGAACTTGTGGGATGGTTAATCTGTTGTATTCGTGTTGGGAAGAGCTAGCTATATATATAATACATATGAGATCACGTGTAGGCGGAGCGATCGCTATGGCAACGCCACTGGGGCGGAACGCTGCTACACCCCCCCTCGCATCGCCATGCGAGATCTCAAACGCCATAAAAAAGAATCAAACATCTCTTGCAAATCTAGCTATGCCATCCTCAAATCCATTCAAATCATACTACCTACATTGAGTTTGAATATTTCACTTCTCTTCACTTATAAAATCTAGTAAATCAAGAAATCAATGAAATATAATTATACTCAAGAATTTAGTTAATTTATCTACTATCATTTCTTTAGTTAGAATATAATTAATTGAGATTATACTATTATTTAACTAACTATAGATATAATAAAATCAGATATTAATATACTTATTTCTTACAGTGATAATAGCCCCGGTGGCCGAATGGTTAATGCGGCCACCCGGTAGCGCCTTGGCGTGGGAAACCAAGACGCGTGGGTTCGAAACCCGCAGGGGATACATTAAATCCGGAACTCAAGCACCTCAGGTTCCTAATAAATACAGAGGTGTACAAATCACTCCAATGAATGCTCTATGTTCCTGGGCTGGGAGTATTATTGCATGTATCTAATGTCACTCCTTTGTATTTTCCTATGTTCTTGTTATCTTGGCGTGGTCTCAACACCTGTATTTCCTCCTGTATAACCAACACTTGACCTGTATTTAACATCACGCAAGGACTCATCATAAGCTCCGCTGCATATGAGTATAATGAAAGAATAATAATAATAATAATAATTACAGTGATAATAGTCACTGAGTAAAAAT